AAATCACATGTATTAGCAATTGATTTATCAAGAATTTATTTTCTGGATCTGAATACCACTAAAAATAATGTAGAGCTAGCAACGCCACTTTATCAAACATTTTATAGTCTGGAAAATTACCTACCTTAAGAATACCTAATTTCCCCTACGTGTTAATACAAAACAAGTAAGTAATCTCTCCCAGGGGGAACCACCCTCATTTACTCCTTATGTAATAGTATTTCTTGCGCAGATACACATTTTTACGAGTCATGAACTGCTAGCTATCGGTGAAAATAAAACGGCAGTTCCACGTCAGTCACAGTTCACTCCAAAAATAAATTTTATCTGCGAGAACAATGCAAATAGGTTGCTTTATACTTTCTACGTTATGTCCCTCTAAAAGAAAGTACCCTTTGTCATTGTTTTTGGTAAATAAATGATACTCAATATCTTGAAAAAATGATACTAGTATCTCTACTCACGAAGTTTATAACGAAGTAATCTTTAATACAATTACTGTTATCCCTTTATTGAAGTAGAGGAAGAGATTCTGCTCAGACCATTTTTTAAATACGTGTAAAAATTATATTTAGTTATAGTTCACAATGCACATAAATTTGCGGTATCAATATGTCGATATATTGACATATAAGTAGCACTATTTCGAATAAACCGATGTAGTGGTATTATTTAACCCTCAATCGAGCAGAATTTCAATAATTTAAAGATACTCAACAATATTTATTTAGAGGGAATAGAGAAACAGCACAATGAGTTGCAATATGAATAGACCACAGATATAAAGAGTTTGTTTAAGCTTTAGATCACTCATTGATATCTGATTGATCACAATGACAACGTTAAGATTGACTTGTGTCTCTGAACGCGTCAACAGACATGGTATTTAATCTGCTAGTGATTGTGCGTGTTTTATCCTAGGAGTGGCGACGTTGCTCTCCCGATGGAGCGTCAGATCCGTCATACACGTCGGCTTGCAAGGTGTCCCTATCTCGGATCTTTTAGTCAGAGCCTCCAGAAAAAAAATATAGATCCAGGTACAGAGATGTGTAGACCCTTACACAAAAAATTCTGAAGACATGGGCATGTGACCATTATTTTCCTTTCGTACAATTGAGAGTATTGATTTATGCATACTATTATTACATTTTTCGTATATATATGTGTGTGTGTGTGTGTGTGTGTGGAGAGAGAGAGAGAGAGAGAGAAATGTATACTTATACTATTAATATTATTAACTCCAACGGCCCTTACTCCGCTTTATCGGAATCGCGGTGACTGTACGTGACATAATTCACACTGTGATCCTCGCGTGACTTGTAGTTGTAAAAATTGACAAATTTTTACTTCGATTTTAAATTTCTAAAGTTCTACTTTAGATTTTAAAAACTTTCAAAATTAAAGGAGATGAGGTAGGATAAAACAAAATTGAATAAAAGTTCAAATTGTAATAAAAATTAAGGAGTGTTTCGGGCTTTATTGGTCCCCCTGAGATTTGTGGGCACCAGAGCGATGTGCTAGCTGCACTCCCTCTTATTGGGCCTGCCACCAATAGGGCAGCACCCCATTCGATGCAAGATCTAACCGCCCGTCTACTCTCGCAACGTGTACAGTGTAGTGCACATAGGTGTATGTGTGTGTGTGTGCGCGCGCGCGCGCGCGTGTGTGTGTTTTAATTAAGAGATGGGACAAAGTCGAGAAAGAAAAGATCACGCACGGTCCGTGGCCTGTTTGTAGGGTACTGCTCCAACATTCGCCTGCTATTCATCGGAGAAAACACTTAGGGCTACCGATCAGAGCAACCGGTCGCCAGAATTCTCCTCCATTCAGAGGCTGCATTCAACCTAGCTGCATAGCTGGTATCAAAAACCCGACCGCCTTCGGACTTGGATATAGCTGGTGCCAAAAACACTACAACCTCCTGATTAGAGTCAACGCAGTGATAACGGAAGTTGCTCTGAGCGAACTCGGCTGGGGGCAACGTTAAGAGATGCTGTTCATAATACAAGCCCACAAGATAACTCCCCCTTGGATCCTAGAGTTTCAACAGATTTGCCGAGGGCGACGTCCGTGCGGCCATTAGAGACGGCTGGCGTTTGGGAGCTGCTAGGTGAAGGCGTGGACGCGGCGGGGAGGGTACGGGAGGCGGTGACGTGAGCGGAGCTAATGCTGGAGGCGGTGGCCGGGGACGGTGGCAGGGAAGTAGACAGCGTGGGCTGGGCCGTGGCTGGGGCCAGAGACAGGGGAGGGAGCGGGGGCTCTGAAGCGGGCGAGGCTGAAGCGGGGGTCTATGACCGGGCACGGTGGCAATGGTGGAGACGGTGACGGTAGCAGTGGTCATGTCGGTATAGTACGATGTATTAAGTCATGCATTTGACGTAAACCAGCTGTTGCAGTTTCATTCAATCTGGAGCTTATATGGCGCTACAGTGACGTCGCAACGGGGACGTTGAAGCTCCCGATTGGATGAATCAAGGAAGAGCTGATTTCTTTCTTTTCGGCGTAGCCGAAGGTCGTTTGGAATTTTGTTCTCTGGATCATGTTGCAGTGCGCACGCAAATTGCGTTTTACTACTAAGTGTCAGGTTGTTAGTGTCGGTTCGCCACGGACCTTAGTCTTTTGCCAGTTTGGCGATTTATTTAGTACGTTTTGTGACTACGAAGTCATTTTAGTGGGTGAGCTCGCTTTATGTCCTTAATATGTCCGAGGGGAGAGCTTGTCTTCTTTTTCCTGTGGTAAGGACATGTCGGTGGAATTGTTTAAGTGTAGCCGGAGTTTCATTTGATAGGCTCCAAGAGCTGATTTACGTCAAGTGCATGGTTAAATAATCCAGGTTTAGCGGAGGTAGCGGAGGAAGCCGAGCGCTGTCTGAGACGTTGAGGGCTGTGGCTGGGGCCGAAGGCGGCGGTTGTGGCGGTGTGGGGGAGGGAGGGAAGGGGAAGGCAGGACGAGGCGGAACCGCGGGCGCAGTTCCGGCGGCGGCGGAGGCGGCGGCGTGCCTTGACCCAGTGGGAGCCTTCGCGCGCATGGAACAACCTGCCACGCTGTCCCCGAGCCACCGCAGCCGCCGGATACACAGCTCTCGTCGGAACTCGTTAATTCCTCGATTTAGAAAAAAAACGAGAAGTACACAACAATAATCTCAATGTGAAAACCCAGCTCGAACAGGTTTTTGTCCAGTTTCCCTGCTCCATTGAGCAAATTCTGAGATGACCCCTTGTTTTACTTCTGGGCGTAAATGTAGCTTCACTACGCGCACGTTTTGTTGAACTCTCCTTTTGCTTGTAATGGTAAGAGTAGAGGTAGGGGTGAGTTGTTATTTTGTTAGCAATGCAGAAAAATCATTCTTGCAATTCGTGTACCGATGCAAATACGTTTTCTAGAACTCAGAAACGAAAATCGCTTTTCTTCAAATATTGTTAATCTTGCGATTTTTTAAATTTATTTTTATTTATTTATGTTAAACTTTTACTCATCTTTCAACTATTTATAGTTAAAATGGAAAGAGATTCTGGAACTCAAGAAAGCGTCCGCAGATAATCTTTTCCCCCTACGTCACATAGTTTTTACTGTGTGTGTGTGTGTGTTTGTTTGTTTGTTTGTTTGTTTTTCTGAATAAATCTAAATCTAAATGACGGTGATGACCGTAGTACAGCCTGGGTGGGAGTTACTTTCTATTATTCACAATAAACCTAAATATACAAAATAGTTCTGTTGACGCTGGATGGTAGCGGTATTTTAAATAGAAAGTGACAGCGATCGAGCGTTCTTTGAATTTTGCTGTTTCCCCGACCAACGTTCTGCAATCACGCTATTCAGGCCTTTATGCAATTCATTATCCTAAGTCTGAGAAATCGAAGACAATCATAAGTGCACTCCGGACCTTGAAAACTATTGACATGGAAACTATTAGATCACACTTGTAATGTCATTGGCATTTCTCGTTTGAAAAGGTTAATTAGTTATTGCAATAGTGGCAGTTGTGTTCAATTTAGTTTAGTGGAAAATATAATTTATTATTTATAATTACAGAAGCAATGTTGAATTATATACTACTATGCGACTTTTAGTATATAGTCCCATAGTGACATCATATTGCTTTTACATTGAGATGGGTTGAAGAACATTGAGAAGGGTTGAGTGATTAAAAGGGCTGAGCATTGTTCTTCTGTTCGGTAGCTGCCAGTCCGCTCTCCAGACCGACTCCTTCGCCATCGACAAGCGGTTAAGCTATTAAAATAAAATACCTAGATTATAGTGTTACTTTTATTCATAATATGAAATGTGACATTCTCTCATACTACAACTTCTCTCCCAAAGGACACACAGTTTTCCCATTTGCTCCCTCTACTCGATAAGTTCTCACCCATACACCATATAAGTTTGTTGTTTTTTGTTGCGATAATTAAATCGCGTAACTCCACGTGCACGTTAATGAGTGTGCATTGAGCGCGTTGGTGTGGCTGCGCAGGGCTGTCGCTGCTGCCGTGGCTGCTGTCCATGTCGCTGGTGGCGGGGCTGGGCCCCTCTGGCGCCGGCCGCCTGCGGGAGGTCTTCCGCTGGGGCCAGGTGCGTATCCACGCTCCACGTTCCACACGACCAGCGCTCCCGCCCTCTTCCTTGCAGACGCATTCAGCCACTGCGAGGCCTCCGTATTGATATTTATAAAATATTGACGGCCTTCCCCTCGGAAGAAAATCCTCAAAATTTATTTAAAAATGTCCGTCACTTTGGACGCAATTGAAGATCGGAGAATATGTTCCCCAATCGTAAAGAAATCTTAATTGTGACCATGTTTCTGAGTAATAAAGTTTTTTTAATAATTAAATTTGTTCTGAGAACAAAACAAAATTTGTTTAATTTCATTACATATATTCATTATAATTCAATATTTTTAGTGAAGTAGAATGCTTTATTAATAATAAATTTGCACATATAAACTTTTTTTATGACTTTTTTCAAATATTTTATGACCACCCCACCACCTTCGTCAAAAGATGGGGTTCCCTAAACAACGGCTCATTTTGCTTGTCGGTAAATATGATCGTCTTCACACACCTGAGAAAGATAATTCTTTCTTGTCATAATTCTTCAAATAGACCATGCAAGTGTATTTTCAGCAATTCTAATTAAAACTGAACATAGTCATGTGATATACGTACTATTTTCATTCAAACATTTCAATTTTCAAAAATGAAGCAGTGTATCTTTTCGAGGTAAAAAAGAATAATTGTAAGGAGACTACAGTACTTGGTTTTATTAAAACCACTGAAAAGCTAAAATTAAAAATTAAATTTATAAAACGAGATCCGACTTCCAAATTGTAAAATATACTCTTGAAATTTTAAAAAATATATTTAAAGTCCGTTTAGTGTTTCGGTTTAGCAATGACGTGATTTGACAAATAAAATGATCACCACTGCCAAATCTATGGAAAAAATGTATAATCGCTTTTTTATCTTCTAGTGCACTTTATATTTTGTAGTTAAAAATTATTTTTTTTAAATTTAGTTTTGTTTTTGGACCAAGATTTAATACATAGCTTTTCACAGCGACATAAAATCTACTTAAGGAATTGACCTCATTCTGATCATATTCAGTGTCATTATTACCATTAAATATTAGGTACTGATTAATTAGTAACTAATTTGAAATATTCACCATATGAACTTGGAACATTAAATAAATTAACGTTCTGGTGCGATAAAGATTTTGACATTAATTTTGAAAATTCATTCAAATTCATTGCATTAGTGATTACGACATTTATGATTAAAGTCAGCCATTATCAATAAAGTAGTTATCAATATTTTATTTTTAATTACAATATTGTCTAATATTTCAATTGTTGTAAATCATTTTACGTTTAACGTTTAACATTTAACGTTTTTCGCGCATATCAGAAATACCATTCAAAATAGCCTATTTAGAAGCAATTTGAAGCAGCGACTGATCGGCACAGAGGAGACCAGGATCCCACATGTCCCATTCGTACATCACGTAAATTTTTTACTGTTTTTTCATGATAAATGGATCAAATCATTGATATGGGAATTCTAGCTCTACATTTATCATATGTGATCACTGTTTGCCAATGAACATGTGGTTGGAAATATCACACTACGAAGTTGCCCCTGATTGATAGGCAACCCATACTACGTTGATGTTTGACTGTTCAGTTGCTGACCTAGCCAAAGCAATTTCGTGAACCCGCCGAGCACCATTGCTTCGGTGTTCTTATTTATCCGGCAGTCAGAATGCAAGTGAACCATTTCTCTTGCAATTTTCTTATGAGTGTTCCAAGAGCATTTGAAACATGAGAGTCTTAGAAGGCTATTTTGAATGGTATTTCTGATATGCGCGAAAAACTGCTACAGACTTCGTCGTCACCACTGCCTCCTTTAAAACTTTGCCCCCCCCCCTCATGGTGTCGACCCCGATGGGGCTCTGTGCTGTTGGACAATGGTCTTCAAATTTTTTAACTAAACTAATATACTATACGTAACACGGTCACACAAAAAACATTTATTCGAGTCTAGGGATCAGACCATGTTTCTTCTATGTTTTGGGGGTCGCTAAATCCGAATCCGGTCACCATTTCACTCCATCATATCAGGTTTTTTTTGACATAACGTCAAAAAATATAAAAAATGAAATATATTTCTAACCGAGGAGTCAGGTCATGTTACCTATATATGTTTAGGGTCGCTGACACCTACTCTGATGTCCATTTAACTTCATCACATCCGATATTTTAATTCAGATCAAATATAATTGAGAGAGAAGGTGGCATTTGCCCCTGACGGGACAACACTCATCACGTGATTGTATGTCAGATTGCCTAAATCGTTGGCGACACATCACTACCCTTCTCTCCAAGCAGATA